GTCAAGCTGTTGCAAACTGTCAGACGAATGCGCGCGGCGCTAAGGCGAGACCCGCATTTTGAAAGCCACGTGCTCAGCGCTATAGCGAGAAACAGATTTTGAAAACCTTCCGCCCTCCATCCGTGAACCTCTTGCAAATCTCCAGGATCATGAACGGTGAGAGTCTTAGGCGAAACGCCCGGCGCGCCCAACCAACACGTCTGGGGGTGCGACAGAGAGGAAATGGGTATCAGAGAAAGGGATGAGGCAAAAGTGATGGGGGAAGAGGAAGAGGACCACTTCAAACCCAAGACGCATCAACGATGTTGCAATAAGCGCTCCCTGCGAGCTCCCTCTCCAGAGGCTCCCACAACAAATCAGAGTGAGGGGGCCGAACGGTCATTCACTGTCTCTGGGTGCGTGGCTGAAGTGGAATTCCGCGGCGCGGATTCTTGTTGTTGTTTGTTGTTTGTTGTTTGTTGTTTGTTGTTTGTTGTTTGTTGTTTGTTGTTTGTTGTTGTTGTTTGTTTTATTTGTTTTTGTTGTTGTTGTTGTTTTGTTGGTTTGTTGTTGTTGTTGTTGTTGTTTGTTGTTCCGTCGTCGGTCCCAACACCCCGCAAAAGAAAGTTAACCCCCCCCGCGCGACCCAACCACTACGCGAAACCACAACCACCACCCCCGCGACCCACCCCTGACCGAAAACCCCAAGGCCCCCCATCCCCACCGCGAAAAAGAGGACCCACCCGCGATAAAAAAAGTCCCACCTACAGCGACACCACCACGCGACCCCCCACCCCGCCGCGACACTCTCACCCCCAATATGCGAGAACACCACCCAACAACCCTGCGACCCACCCCACCCATAGGTAGGCAACCAACACAAAACGCCATATCCACCACCACACCTGCCACCCCGCCCTGCCCAACCGGAACCCCCCGCCGCGGGGCCACAAGATTCCCCCCTCCCACTAACCCGCGGAAGACCCACCCCGCGGATAACCCAGCCCCCCCCGCGAACCCACCTCCACCGCACCCACCCTCCGCGAAGAGACCCACCTGGCAAAAAAACCCACCCTCGCGACCTCACCCCCAGCGAAACGAAGACCCCACCCACCTTCGAGACAAACGAACGTTCAAGGTACTAACCACCAATTTTCCCGCTCTGGCGCCTGCAGCAAAGCCTTTTTTATTTTTTCCGTTCCTATATTCCAGTGGGAGAGCCCCCAATTATTTCACCCCCGCGCGCATGCCCACCTCCGACCCAAACCACGTTCAGGGTACAAACCACATTTTTGGGCGCCTGCGGCGGGCATCTTTTGCATTCGTTTCAGGTGGAGAGCCCGCGGCCCACCCGCGACCACGTTCAGGGTACAAACCAAATTTTTCGGTGCCTGCGGCGGGCACCTTTTGCATTCGTTCCCGGTGGAGAACCCGCGGCCCACCCGCGACCCAAACCACGTTCAGTGTACAAACCAATTTTTGGGGCGCCTGCGGCGAGCTGCTTTTGCATTCCTTTCAGGTGGAGGTGGAGAGCCCGCGACCCACCCGCGACCCACACCACGTTTACTGACATAACCAATGCCGCACAAGCGCGGCGGCGGATTTTTGCATGCCGTCTGAGCCCGCAAGGACCTCTTCAAGCCCCGCGCATCCACACCAGCCCGTCCAGCAACTTTGCCCTGGCGAGTTGCCTTGATCAGAGAAGTCGGGGAGCATAAAGTTGAAAAAAGGATTGCGTTGCCGTTATCTTGGGAAAGGAGGGGGAGGCAGGAGGAGTAAACAGGGGACGAGGAGGACGCGGAAGAAGAGAGGATGTAAGGAGAATGTGGAGAAAGAGGAGGAGGAGGAGGAGCAGGAGGACGAGAGGAAGGGGGGAAGGAGGGGGAGAGTGAGGGCGGAAGGAGATGGGGAGGACGAGGGAGGGGGGGAGGAGGGGGGGGAAGGAAGGAGGGAGGAGGATTGGTGGGATGAAGACGACCGCCCCATGGCGGACGACGATGGGCGGCCGATGCCGGGAGGAGGCGCCGGAGCAGTCCAACCGATGCAAGGACGGAGGGGGAGAGGGAGGACCGGACGAGAAGAAGAGAGGAGAGGACGAGGTGGAGAGGAGGAAGACGAAGCCGATGAGACGACAAGGACGCGAACGAGGAAGAGGAGAGGCGGAGGAGGACGAGGAGGCGGAGGAGGAGGAGGAGGAGGAGGAGGAGGAGAAGAGCGCCATCGACAGGGAAGGTGGGGGCCACGAGGTCCGCCGACTCGACGACGCCCGCGTCGCCCGCGCCCGCCCCCTCACTCTTATCCGCAATTGCGGGGTGCTACGTATTTATACGTCAGGAAGTGCCCCATAGGAGGACAGTCGTTTGTGAACTCCCAATCATGTCCAAAAGTATTTCCTGGGACTTCAACGCCGCGAATCAACATGATTGTTGTGCCCCGACAGTCCTAAGTCGTGCCAGACCACCAAACCTGGGACTTCAACACAGAGAGTTAACGTGACTGGTGCATCTTGACAGTCCTAAAT